AGCTTCAAAACAGCCATGAGCAAGCAGTCAATGCTGCAAGCAAAGGCTTTGCTTCGGGGGAATGAGTTGGGGCTAGGGGCTGGGCATCGAACATACTGCCCCGTCGAGTCAGCCCTCGCCTCCTGTGTGCAGTGGAGGCTCAGGCTTTGTCGTCGTTTAGCCCTCGCCCGAAGGCTCAGACTTTGTCGTCGTCTGGCCCTCGCCCACCAAGAAAAATATACAATATGGGTACCCCTCGGTACATTTCGGCAACCGCACCCAGAATATGTAATTATCCCCACCTGGGTACGGGTAGGGTCATTGTACATTAGTTGGGTAGGGGCCTTCCCGTAGCAAAGGGTTTGTGGCCTGGCTCTGCATGTCCGCAGCGCTCTGGCGCAAACTCCTGGCGGCCTCGCTGTATGCCAAAGCGCAGTTGTTCAGGCAACGGGCCAGGAGCCTGTCGGAGTTGGAATGGTCTCAGAGCGCAGGGAGCAAGCAGGCACAGCTTGAATGGCTCAAAGATCCAAACCTTGCGCGCGTCGTCTCGATGCAAGAGAGGAGAGCGTCCACATCTTTGGCAGCACTCTCCCGCAAGAGTCGGGCTTCATTGGCCTCCTCAGTGCCTGCAAAGAATCTACGTCTACGAGCATCAACGCACAATTGCATGTGTCATATCGTGCTCCAAGACTTCGACGTTTTGCTAAGTCTTCGATTGAAGATGTCTGTGTCGATGCCGCCTGACAGGGAGAAAGTCTCTTGCAGCGTTGAAGTTGTTAGGCACAAGGTGAGAGGTCACTGTCCTACCTTCTGAACCTTCAACTCCGCCGCTGCAATGTCTTTTTCTCCATCACCCCTGGTGAGCCGAGCAAAGCCCTTCTTCTTCTCCGCAGCTTTCTTCTCGGTCTTCTCCTTCAATGTTGAAGCTGGATACATTTTGTAGCTCAACTGCTGCATTCAAACTCTTAGATGTCTACAAAGATGCTCCTGTTCCCGCATAGCACTCTGCAGGCCGACGCGTGCACGATCCCGCTTCTGCAGGCATTCTGTCACGGCATTGGAGCAGCTGAGCTCCCTCGCACACAAATCATCCAAAACCGTTTTCTTCCTGCAAACTGCATCAGTGATCTTTGCACGCAGCACAGCCTGACAGCATCCAGAATCTAATGGCGACAAGTCCTCCTATGGTCTGCATAGGCGCCCCGATGAAAAGACTCCTAAGCTCAGCTGACGAATTAAGCGCTGAAAAGTGCACGGCATAATTACCGGGCTGCCTTGCATAACCCCGTGTGTAAGATCATGGTTGGCCGACAACAGAGCAAGATAAATCAAGACTCCAAGGGCAGAAGCATGCTCTGACTCAAAGCGGAAGCCAGGCCGATTAAGACCGCACCGAGGTTGGAGCACGTGTCCTCTTGTACTGCTGGTTCCAGGATGCAAGTGGCTTTGAATTAGGCCAAACCACTGAAACCTCTCCTTGCTGGCCTTGAGACCTCACATTTTCAACCCGCCCAGCCCAGAGTCCAGAAATGATTGTGAGGCTGTCGCAGTCCCCTCATCCTCCATCTTCAGGCATGCGGTAAGTGACCAGCCCTCCTCCAGGACAAAGGAGGACTAAAACAAGTCGAACTGCAAATTGCTTCCTTCACGTGCATCTGCTGGCCTTTGGCAGCATGCAGGCAGTTGAACATCTTTGCAACCTGGATCCTGCAGGTCTGCATATTATGGCACCCAAGCTCTTCTCAAACATGAATAACTCAGCAACAAAGTATGTGCCGGCCTGCATCTGTCAAGACTTCTACTACAGCCTCCGCAACCTGAGCCGTGTGGCTCACCGTCAAGAGCTTTTGGGCTACACGGTGAACTTCGGCATCCAGGATCTGGCAGGCCAGTGGGTGCGTGCAAATATTCCACCAATGATGCAAGAGCCTTTCTGCTCCCAGGCCTTACTGTCCCAGCGCGGTCGGCCTTCGGTGCTGTTTGGCGATACACCACGTGGTTCCTGACCCAGTGGGCCGCAACACTTGTGTCTTCGTGCGCGCAGGAGAGCCTCCCTGGGCCGCAGCGTAGCTGATGACTCAAGCCGAGTCCCACCTGGACCTGAATGCAAGAAAGGGATGAGGTTATGATAAAGGAATCACCCGCGGATCCTTCTGCTTGATCGAAAGCTGCGCCGTATCATATCAAGAATGATACGCCCTAAAAGTATGTGCACCATTAGAATTATACCCCCAAAAACAAGTAGGGGCCAAAAGCTGCCATGTCATATTGCATTGTCCAAGCAGCCGAGCTCGCCTCCGCCGTGCATGTTTGCTGTCACATCTCTGTGGTTCACAAAGCTTCAAATGGCGTCAGACTCTCTAAAGAGATACGGCTCAGATAAAGTTTCGGAGTTGCGTTAGCCTCGAGATGACCTCAAACGGTCCTGCTTTTTCAGGGTGCTTTGGGCCACATGGCTGTTGCATACCAGTCGATTCTGGATTTGCGATGTATCATGGGAGCCTCTCTCTTTCTATTGTTGGATGCGTCCCAACCGAACTCTCGGTTTCGGTTGCAAGCCCTACACATCGCAGAAACCCCAAGCCAGAAAGAAATGACACCCTGCAGAGCCCCGACATACTGTTTCCCATTGTCGTAGTTTCCCTCAACTTTTGCAGCGCATGTGCATAACGCCCTGCCGCCCTGCTTTGGAATTGGCGGAAGGGTGCAGGATGGTGCTGGCACCCATGACCAGAACACATCCTAGGAACGCACACTCATCCGTGGCTCCCAGGGCTTTGACGTACATGAGTCGGTCCATGACTGATCATGCGGCATGGCTGTGATCAAGCAACGGCAATTTTGCAAACGCAACAAGAAAAGGCGCAGCTGGATTGTCTTCTGCAGCTCTAAAATCTGCAACTGCTCTAAAACCTGCAGATGCATCGAATCTACGATGCGGAACAGGCCTTTGCAAAATGCGGTTTTGAGGACACAGCTTGACATCTGGCTTACTCTGGGTTCGTGTCTCCAAAAAACCGGCAGGCAAATCCTTCGAGCCTTCAGGCACAAAACTCACCGTGCAAGGAGGTGCTCTTGCTTTAAATTCAGAGCAAGATGCCACCCCTTTCACGCTCAGTTCAGCATATCAGCAGCAGAGTCATCTGGCAAGTCACCCATGCCGTTCAGCAGCATTTTGAACTCTATCTCTTCTGGAGTGGCGGGCTTGGGGAAGACCTGTCCAGGCCATACATTCCACACAAGCATCTGGGGCTCTTCATTAGCTAGGTTCATATGCGACATGAGACTAACGTCATATCATTAAACACGTGTTTTCACGGGCGAGAGTTTATGAAAAGGAGGGTCTCTTATCGCTTGTGGAACGAGCAACAAAATCATGTTCTGAGGGCATGCAAGGCTGACCTCTAGTCATAGTCAGTGAAGTGTTCCCACCCCCCTAGGCCCCCTCCCAGCACGCACCATCCCATGCATTGCGGATGAACAGGCTTACCCGCCACACCCTCCCTCTGCGCGCCATAGCACTATCGGTGCTGCAACTGCTGCCTAAGACAAGTGTTGGGCAGATTGACGACTTCTGCCTTCTGGATGCTACTGTAGCGAGCCCACATTGCGGCTCCAACTTCTCATCATCTACTTGCTCTCCCGATACATGAGAACTCAAGCTGTCTTCCAACATGGCTCCGTTTTGGACGCCATCGCTGAGGCGGCATTCGTGCTAGCCTGCTAGCCGTTAGATTAACCCTACAGCCTCAAGATGAACATGGTGGTTTTGAGCTGACCCCCAAACAAAAGTTAGGAGTGCCTTCGCCGCCTCAAGGTCCAGGATCTCCTGCCGCAATTGGCTGAAAAATGTTGACAGTATTGACGCCGCGCTGCTTCCCAAATGAAGAAAACGGCTACTTCTGGCGGCTGCTGGTGCTGCTACTACTACTGCTGCCACCACCACCACCACTACTACCACGACGACGATGAAATTAGTCTGCTTTGTCATGCGAATATGCTTCCTCTGCGCAAGATTGGTATGAACACGCCCTACAGCCACTCGCAGCCAATGCTCAAGCGGTCTTGGGTCTCCTGAACGCGCTCAAAGATTTTCTGTGCTTCCTCTCTCGAGCGCCCGATGCAGACACAGCCACACTTCCCAAGCTCGGAGAGGCACGTCACCAAATGGAATATCGTGCCTGGTCTGCGATCAAAAATGTCATGACGTATTAATGCGTGAGATGCCGTCCGTCATAGATGTATACGAACAAAATCTCTACCAGACTGTTGGCACCTACCGTTGCTCAACGAGCACTCGGATAACTGTGCCACGAAACTCAGTCAAACGAGCACAAATCCAACAAACTGCAACCAGCCTGTCTCCGGTGCACCTGGTCTTTTGTTCCACTCAATCTCTGCAGAGTACCCTCAGCACAGGAGACTTAGCACGGTTCAACGCCCCTCGACCCATACGGCTGAGCCCAGACTGTGCTACTGTTACTCTGTACGGCCGAGAGGCGCTCGATTATGTTGAGCAAGTCCTCAATCACCAAGCCTTTGTATTTCTTCTTTCCTTAGAACAAACATGCATGCAATGCTTTCACTCTTGAGCACCGCCTTTGGCTTATGTAACTTGCCGCCAAAGTTGCTAACAGTGTCGGAAGCCACATAGTACCTGTGTGTTGTGGGGCTTTAAGGACACTGGGCGGTGTACTTTCCAAAGCTTACAGCCGGCCTCGGCTTGCCATCTGTCGCAAGGAATTCAGAGGTTTTCTCATTCAGCCTACCCTCGAGGCACAAAAAATTCCTTGGCAGCATCTGCACGTTTGCGACAAAGATGCTGTGACCACATGAGCAAATCGCAGTAGTATGAGGACAGCCGAGCGGCATCGTCATGATTGGCAGCGTGGTGCCGCCCATGCGCACGTTTACCTCGATCGCCCAGTGCCTAGCAAGGCCGAATAAGCTTTCTGCAAATGTTGTTGTCAACCATCGTTTCTCCCCGCAACGGTTGAGAGAATGACTTGAACACTTTTCCCGAAGTAGGCCCCTTACTATAACCCCAATATATACCCGATTCTAATGTAATTATTTCCATTTTCTCTTCCATTATGTCTATATAACGCTAATATATACCCTATTATGATGTGGTAGTTGCCATTTTTTTCATCATCCCAATATAGGCCAAAGGGCTGGTAGCTGCCATCCTTTTGAAGGACAGACACGAAGTCGACAGCGATGTATCCGATGACGTCCCGACGAACTAGCTCCTGGTCGGGCGGCGCAAGGGAACAAAAATCGGGATATAACACAGGCGGGAAACGGAAAAGAAATGGAAAGTACTACATTCTAATAGGGTATATATTGGGGTTATAGTCAAGCTGAAGATCGCATGCTGAGGCGAAGTCATACTCCCAATTTTGCAGTAATATATGGTCCTGGCCAATCTTGTGCGTCAGCGCAATGAGGTCTGCAGAGTACTTCTCATTGGCCGGGAACTTGCATCCTGGCAGTCTTGATACGGTGGCACAAGGACCCGAACCAAAGCTCTTGATGGGGCATCAAATTTGGCCATGTTTCAATCATGGGATCCTATACTACACCTCCCCTTCCTCACAGACATACGGAAAGCTCCTACCCAACCCTCCATACTAAAGAACTCCCCCTACTCCCCTCCCGAATGAGGCCTAAAGCAGCCATAATTGGAGTATAGGATCCATTGATTTGACTTGCCAGCTCGCCAATTTTTTTCACTAGGAAGTAATATGACTGCCAATCATCACCATATTACTGTAATCTACTAAACCCTACACCTGAACCGTAAACGCAACTTACCAACTTATAACTTGCCAAGGATAGCTTCAGCCTTGGTAGATTTGGCCGTTCAGCATCTGCTCATGGGTTGCCAAAATCCTGACGGACAAAGGGGTATACGGCGGTCATGTAGGGGTTATATAGGGGCATATAGTATACGGGTATGTATCCTACAGAAGTAATATAAAAATAGGTAAGGGTGTGTAGTATAAGGGTATGTAGTATGATAGGGGCTACATAAATACAGTGCATATAACATAGGGGTTATCCAAATATAGGGGTACATAGGGAGAGATTGGGATAATGGAAAAGAGCAGGAATGGAAACCACCATTTCGTCTGCAGGGTTTCGGGTTTCCTAGATTTCGGGGTACCTTTTGAGGGGTCCCCGTGATAAGGATGAAAATTCTTTGGGTCTAGATTGGGGCGCCCATAATTTGCGAACACGTAGGGTGTATATATATATATAGATAGTTATTTATTTACTTAGTTCTATTTATGTATTACACGAGTTACATTTAGGGATAGTGGAAAAAGGAATCTACCATTTGTGTAGGGTGTAGGGTCTAGGGATCTTACTGGCAAAGCTGTACGAAGGGCACCATGATATAGAGACATTGAGGAAAGAATGGAAACTGCGAAATTCCAGAGGGGTACATATTGGTCATATATAGAGCTTAGACAGGGTACCCTGATCATGGAGAATCAGATGGAAAATCGAGTTGGAAAATAAACTGGAAGCTACCGCAAAAAAACATCCGGGTCATAAGTACACTGGCGAAGACTGGATTGTCTCGCAGACAGCACTTCCAAAGATCCGAGGCTGCAGAAGCTATCGCATGATTTCGGAATCCTGACGCTGCCGTCGGCATTCAGGAATGCCTGGCATGAAGGCGATGTCTTGGCTTCGTGGTCACCTTGCACTCAGGGGGTACAGCAGCAGGCGTCCAAGCTCGAGGAGGTCGTGAGAACAGGGAACAATGGTGGACACATGGCGTCTTGTGTTGTGTACTTTTGGAGCTGTGCACAGTTTAACTCCGTCGACAACAGGGATTCATTTACTAGTTGCTGAGCCCTGCCTTCGATGAAAAGCTCGCAAATGCCGCCAAGCTCTTGAAACTGCGTGTAGTACCTGTCCCAAGTCAATCCTGCCAGCACACGAATCTTATCACACTGTGCTTAACTTGCAATAATGATAATAATGAGAATGAAAACACGAAAACACTAGTGTCACTAGTGCTACTACTAAGTACAAATAAACAATAGATTGGCGCTGTGAAGCCAGCTTCAGCCAGCGTCCTGGTGCCACGTACTCCAAGTGCTTTTCAAGCCTGCTTGCTTGCCAGATCAGCATTGTCATTCACCTATCTACACTGTATGCGATCCAGCTGGGACTGTTTTCGGGTCGCGCGAGGTGGCACTGAAAACGCCCAGGCAAGCCAACGAAGGGAGGCAAACGACAAGTTTCGTGGCCTTTGGCAAATAATGCTGCGAGCTTTCTCATCAGACTCCTGCCAGCATCTATGGCTCGTCTGAGAAAAGCAAGACACCCGCGGTAGTGCAAGTTTACGGCGCTCCTTGAGTGCGTGGTAGAGGTCGAAATCGACACGAAGGACAGCATTGCCCTCGCCACTGAACGAGTCATTTAGCTTCACCATGACCTGTGCAGTTCTCTCCAGGTTTTGACCCACTGCTTGTGAAAACCTCGCTTGAGAAGGCAATGGCGTAGTTCTCGAAAACTACAAGCTCCTCATGTAAAGCCATGACGGCGTCTAGCAGCTGCTAGCAGGTTGTTGGCCAGCGGGCCTTCTTGGTTCCGGGGTTGCGTTTTAACAAAGCCAGGATCTCCTCAAGCCAGGCCAGATTTGCTCTCTTCTGCAGAACAGCAACCTGACCCCGTCTCAGTCCTCGCACAAGTCCTCCTGGGTGTAGATGAGTTCATAACTCCCATCTGGATGCTGCACGCCCGCGTCCTCGGAAGGTACTTCATTTGCGGGCTTAAGCAGATCTCTCTACTACCTCTCTGCCTTCTGAACCTTCTTACACAGTCATCAGCGTGGCAACAGTGGCAGCAGCAGTAGTAGTGGTGGTGGTAGTGACAGGAATGGCACCATTGTTGAAATAATGCTAGTTGCTGCTCCTACAACAGAGCAGCGATAACAAACATCAGAGTAATGATAATAAGTTAAGAATAAAGATAACAGCAGCAATAGCAGCAATAATGGCCGGAAAACAACAGCCAACAATAACAGCAAGGATAGCAACAATAAAGATAGCAATAGCATCAGCAGCAGCACTTAGGTTTGCAGTGGTTGCCATACTAGCAGTGGAAGGCGGGGGTGGTGGTATTACTTCATTGAATTCAGTCCGGCCTCCGTGAGACACAGGCCTAGCCTATTGCTGCCAGACTCAGCAGGAACAATGAGAGAGGAGCCAGTATTGTTGAAGCGCCGTGAGCTATGAGCAAGTTCACAACTCACGAGATATTATATGAGTGGTTGCAGCAGTATTAATATTTCTAGTTAGTCATCATTGAACTTATCAGACAGCAACAGCAGCAGCAGGGGGCAGTCAGGGCGGCAAAGGAGGTGGTAGTGGCGGCGGTGTTGGCAGTGATGGGGTTGCGGGGTAGCGGCTGCAGCGGTGGTGGTCGTTGCCATCCTCCCCCTTCTCTTCCTTGCAATAAGAGCAGCAGGAGCACCACCGCCATCACCGGTCGTAGTAGCGGCTGGAGGAAGAAAGGATGGAGGGAATGGGCAATACGCGTCGCGCAGCAATGCCAACATTCCGGAAGCCTGATTCCAAACCCAAGGTATTAGTTCGACCTACTTGTACAAGATTGCACAAAGCTAAATGACTACTCTCTCAAAGGAGTTCACGAACTCCTGATCCTTGCATGTAGATTCCTACTACAACTCAGGCCCCCCCATTTTGTGAAGCAGTAATAAAGGTGAAGTCTCACACATATCCCTCGAACGAAGCTGTTGAACACAAGGACGCGCTCTCCTCCAGCTGCCCCTCAAAACAATTATGCACCACCTCGTATGCCCTGTAGCGCAGGAATTTTCAGCAATGTCCTCCATCCACCGAGTCTGTTTTTTGTTCAGCTGATGAGATGCATCAGCTTGCATCCACGGATTTTGGGTCTGTTTTGCGCGGTCTGGGGTTCGGCGTGCTCAACGCCCAAAAGCCATGGAGGGCACATTTGAGTTTTGTGCAGGGGGCGCTTGTATCAGAACCTTGTTTTTGGCTGGCGCGTGTGTAGTGCCTAGACTGAGCAAAGACATACCCGTGTAGTCTTGAACGGGGTGGAAGTGGAGTGTAATAACGCACAAGCTGAATTTAATTCCGAAACATCTCCTCTGCGTCTACATAGCTGCGACGCTGCAACAGCCACAATAGCGTCAATGGCAGTCAGCATTCAGTCAGCCATGGCCCCACCAAGCTGGAGAAATTGCTGCAGCTCAGCTTCTCGGAAGACCTGACGATTTCCTGTCTTCGTCCCCCAAAAAGCCCCCTTGGTGTCGGTGCCAAAGAGCGGGATGCCAATGTATTCCGCCTAAGCTGAGGATTGCTACCAGAATTCCTGGTTTCTGCTGCTATATAAGGTGCTTTGCACTGCTCCTTCCCCATTGGTACAACCGCTATAATATATCTCAAGGGCCCAAGTGCGCTGGAATATGCTGGAGTGAGTCAATGCTGCACTTTCTGATCTCAACAAATCCAAAGAAGACACATTGTGCATCAGCGACTCGGCAGCACACAGAGCTAGCAAATATCAGCTGCTGCTACAGTCGCCAATGCCCAGAGTAGCTCTCCATAGAACCGCCAAATTGAACGCTCCACTTTCATCCAAGCAGCCAAGACCTTTTCCGTATCCTGGGGGCAACTTGTTGTGGATACCCTAAACCCCTAAACCTTAAACCCTAATCCGCTAAACCCCCAAAGTTCCTAAACACCCTGAATTTGTCGGAGAGGGCTCCGTGGAGTTGAAGCAGGTCATGGCAGCTTTCTCCGGCTCAATGGCATCGCGTATGCGCTGCATGGCATGCTCTCGAAAGATCAGCTTCGTGGTGACGCTTGAGGAGGTCATGTCCTCAGCAGAACGTGTTGCAGGCGCACCACACACGCAAAAAAGGATCCTGGAGAAGCCAAGATGCATTGCAGGCGATGGTCGTCAAGCGACGCCTCGCATCCTCTATAGTAACACCGCCAGGCAAGTAGCGCAGGTAGTAGTTGATCAGGATATCCTTGGCGGCTGCACTGGCAGTCTGTCGCATGTGCAGCAGACGGGTGGACATGGCATGACATAGCCAGGTAGCCGGAATGTACTGAGAAGTACACATGACCTGAAGCGCTCTTGAGGGGTGGGGGAGACGACTGAGACGACAGGACACCACAGCTCTGCGTTCGTGGAAGCGGCTAGGTGCATGGTGTTCGACCGCAAGAAGAAGAGATGCCACAGAAGACGAAGTTCGTAGTTGCTCACACCAGGGATTTTAGCAAGCTCCTAAACCATCGAAATGACAGAGACACGATCGAGGACTGGATGTGCAAGAAGCCTGCATCGAAGCTCGCAAACACAGCAGTCCTTCCAATCCAGCGACAACGAAGACACGACCACCAAGTAGCGCTCGACATGCCCTCGTTCTCGTAAGAGATCATCGATGGGATGATTCGTGCCACTGATGGTTCGCCTGAGAGAACCCGGGTCAGAAGCCTGCCGGGATCATGCTGAACCCACTCGTCTACGTACAAAGTCTGCCAAGACACCTCAGACGGCGGCTCATATATCCTCCAGGACTGGAGTCAGGACCTGTGCGCGGCAGCCATCTTCGGGAGATTCATGATCATCTTCTTCTCTCACACTACATGTTCCATATCTTGGCTGGTATGCAGGCAGTCTTCACGCTTCTCATTTTCGGCCGCAGTTTCTGCAACGGGTGCAAGACATTCTTGCAACTGCCTAAGGAACAGGGTACTTGGTCAGGTTACGGTGGAGCATTTCCTTCTGAGATCATGGGCTTGTTCCACTTCCGCCCTTTTTGGCGGACAAGCGAGTGCATAGACGAGTGCAAACTATGAGGCAGCAAGAGACAACGTTGAAGATGCCCAGGAAATTGGCCACCCTCGCTGATCTACGCATCATGACGAAGAGGAGGCACAAACCGGCTTGATTGACAAGATTCTCCCTTTCTTCAGGATTGCAGTGGCAAGCCTTACACGTGCGATCAACAACCTTTCTCCTTACAAGGTTGCCGGCGATGTATGGCAAGAAAATGCAAATGATGCCCACCAGTACATTGAAACAGGCCACGCTCTTTGTCCATGCCTCCACTGACCCGAATCGAGTCCATACAGCCAGTATGAAGGCCAGGACCCCAAGCGAGAGAGCACAAATTTGCATCATGTCATATGCCCAGTAGAACTCCATGGAATCCAGGTCGCACTTGCCTTGATCTTTCGAGTCATCTGCTTTCGAATAAGCTTGCTCGTGAAGGCGAGCGCTGGTGACAAGCTGCAGCACATGGAAGGCGGCCAGCAGCATGCAAGTCCATGCACGCGAGGCCATGGTCGCGATTGAGCAGACAAGCTATTTGGTAGTTGAGCTCATACCTAGGGATGGAAAACACTCGAGCCAGACAACAGTTTCAAGCCAAGCTCTACCGCACTGCCACAACAGCTTCTGCAAACCCACTTCACATAAGATGGCAATCTGCTCGTAACGCTCAGAGCGGGGCTCCTGAGGTAGTGGTAACCGCCGGGCCTGGATTTTGAGGTGGAATGCTGTGTGGAGGCCACGCTGCTGCACGGCATTACGCCGGTTGCATGAAACAAGTTCATCGCCATGGAGCTGCGGACTGTCGCCACAGTGCGGTGGCTGGTGCGGCGACGCCTTGAGCAATGAACAATTGCATTCAGTTCGCTTGAGATGGAATGCTCGAGTCTGGTTGGCTTGTTGCTGACCCAGGTTTCCTGAAACTCTGATTTGCTCCAAGGGGCTTTGATAGCATGCTGGAATCTGCACCCACGCTTTTAGAAAGCCAGCCATGCGTCTCCCACACTCTAGTTTACTCCGTGGCGGAAGCACTCACGCTCCTTGGGAGAGGATTCGCGCACTCGAGGCGGAGATGTGGGACGATTCCTCATTTGCCAAGTATACTATTACCGGCAGCAGCATGCCTAGCTGCCCCTCTCTCGCTCTCTCACTTGCTGTCAAGGACAAGTGCGATTTCGAAATTGACGACAAGGCTCATGAAGAATTCGGACCGGTCAACATCCTCTCCACAGTGCTTTGACATGAGCTGTGGCCAGCTGCTTAAAAGGAATATGTAGAACTCTCGAACCTTGTCTGCTCAAGCCGTCCTTTAGGAGATTCGGCCCGCTGCCAAACAAAACCGCTTTGCGGACTCTGTCTCTTTGCTCAGAAGTCAAGAGACCTCGCAGTTGCCGAAGCTACGCCATAAGGTTCTCTGTTTCAAGGCTTCACTTCTGCTTTCGCAGGATCTCGGCCTATTTGCTCGATGATGGATTGCACGGCAGCATCGGAGATCGGGGATCGACTGCTGTCCTCACCTGGCAGATCAAAGTCATGGGTGCAAGTGCGAGCCTGCTTCACAGCCTTGATCCGGCTACGTTTGATTTGACGCCTTCGACCATGGTTGTCGCAGGTCACAGCTGTCGGGTCCCCGCGGGGCCTTTGCACTCAGAGCTGTTGGGAAATCTGCTCTTCGGCGGTCCAAAGCTGATTCGAGCCTGGTGGCGGAAGCCTCCAGCCCACTTCTCGCGGCACACCGGATGCAAGTCTTGAGTCTTATCCTATTACTTTATCTTCCTTCTCATCTCACTCTAGCAGTCTATACAAAAAGCCTCCGGCAAAGTCCACATGAGCAAGTGTCTGCTTGCTGCGCATGAGTGACTGTAGAGGCATGAGCAGCTGCTTCGAGGTATGTTGCGTGATGCTGTGTTTTGGTCATCTTCGAAACCACAACTAAGTTGCCAACTCTAACATGCTGGCAAATGTGATGCCAAACAGTCCACACAGTGACCTTGGCTTGAGATGTCTCTCTGCACTGCACTTTGAAGCCAAAACGGCTCTATGAGCAGAGAACCTTTTCTTTTGCGAGCACTGCTCAAGGAAAGGGGTAAATGATCACCACATGATATCACACGAGCTGCACATGCGTCAGCGAAGGGTGTCGCTCATGTTTTGTGATTCCGCATAATGCGCATCACGGCGCCGCGGCTGAGTCGTCTAACGTGGGGTGAGACATGCATGGAGAGCTAGGAGCGAGCAGGCTTGAACTTATCGGTAATGCTGCTACGTGCTGACTAAGGGTGCCTCTTCTCTGGCGCCTCGCCTCTGCGCCTGGCTCCACGCTGTATCATGGAAATCCAAAGCGCGGCGGTCAGCAAACGCCATGCATCACCACGCACCTACACGAGAATGGGAGTGTTCACGGTCACCAAGATCCTAATCCACTTCCTGAGGCTGTGGTCATACACTGCTGTGAGTCTTGAGTGGGTATCTGCTTAGCTTTTCTGGCCTCGGTAGAGTAGGCTCTATCTTGTTACTTGGTAGTTTCCCAAAATGGGGGGACTCCAATATAGACCCCAAAATACTATAGTCCTTATTACTGCGGCAGGACAAAAGTTC